AAAAAAAAAACCACAGTCCAAGCTGTTTCACAAGCTCACCTCAGCCTCAGTGCCCTCTGGCATCACAAAACTACTTTAGCAACCAGTTGGCGTTGATGGCTCCCTTCCTTTGTGACCTTCCTGTTCTTGGGTAATACTGGCAGAATTACCACTTCCAGAAGGAACTTACAATACGCTGCGCTAACATCGTTTCTCCAGCTTGTCCTTCTTAGCGGCACAATCGTGTAATACCACAATCCCTGAAGGCTCTGAAACACTCACCAAACCAGCTTAGAAAAAAAGCAACAGTCTATGCTGATGGTTTTCTCCAGTCTTTCTGCTGTAGTTATAGTTTTGCTTGGTGTCATAGATAACTAATCCTCTGAATGTCTGCCGGGTGACTGCAGCATCAGCTGGTTTGCAGACTGGTCGGCTGAATTTAAACATGACTGGTGAACTGTTGGGAGGTGCAGCCATTAGACTGGAAGACGGGGAGTCATGAATTCTAGCTGACATTTATCAGATTTTTTTTCCTACTCTGGCATTTAAGGTGTTAGTGTTGCTCTCTGGCACTAATTGGGAATTCGTAGCTGCACCCTAATGAGCAGTGCTACTGCTAGACACATCTATTGGCTTTATTTATGAATTCCATTAAGATTTGTCCATCAATACTTCAGAAGCTGTAATGCAGCAGGAAGCTTGCCGACTGGCATGCCTGTGAGACAGACAGATTTCTGCATACACAGTGTAATCCTGGATTGAGGCAGGAGGGGCTGGATGCTGGGGGGGAGGTGGTTGTATATGTGTTTGTGAGCCTGCATGGGTGACTGAGGGCTCTAATGCTACCCTCCAAGGAGGTCAGAGACAGAGTTGAAGTCCACAGTCTCATAATCCTATTATCCATCGCAGTGGCAGCTGGACACATAATTTTGAGCGTGATGCAAGACATCACCGAGTACTACGACACATGTGCTGCCATTAGCCAACCTCATCTAGCAGCGCTTCTGCACGTGAGTATTCTCAAAGTCGTCAAATGCCATTAAAGACCGAGCCGCTTCCCCTCTCTTGGATGATCGATAAAAAAGTAATTTGTAGCCCTCGTTCCTACAACACTGAGAGAAGGAGCAGCGGCAACTCTTCTAACTTGCCTCGTACAGATAATAACTGCAGGAAACCAACAGAAATAAAGAATTCATGAGGGAGAGGCCACAGAGTGTATATAGCAGCTCCCAAGCTATGTTATCAGCTCAGTGCAGAAAGCTGGATTTACACTTCTTACAGCCATCTGATGAGAGACGGTGGGTCAGCAGATAAAGAGGCTGCAAATCGATAAATGCAGGATAGAGATGGCAGAGACGCGCTAATAGTTAAGCTATATTCTCATGATCTCGCGATCTCATTCAGAGAGAAACAGTCATTTTAATTGTTTTCTTTAGAGTGAGACCAAATTCTTCCATCAGTGCTGCCTTAATAACATTCTGAGGAGAACTAAAAGGAGGGGACTGCGATCAAACGAGCGCAATCACCACATCGATGTGTCTTGGTCCAATCTGACAGGTCCTATCATCATTACCAACATGGCCCCTTGATCTCAATCAGCCATTGCTCACTGGCTGTGTGCCGCTGCTGCTGCTGGCCTGCCGGGATAATGACTGAGCCGTTTGTCATTGTTACGCAGGGAGAATGAATTCATCATAGTGGGCAGAAACAGCTCAATTGCAGCCCAGGCCACGAAGGAGGAATAATGGATTCAGTCAGGGGGCTTTTTAAGCTTGAATGTGTCATCAACACACCGGTCACCAGTCAGTTATCATCTCTGTGTGAAGTTTAGGAAACAAAGGGAAAACTTACTGCTCATGCTACTTCCATTTTTTTAAAAGCACAGTTATTTTTATGTAATTTAAAAGGGCAGTGGTCATTACTGTGACAGTAGTATATTGATGAAATCAGTGATCATGAATATTTGTGTTAATTTAGATAATAATTGAGTTCAGTAACCATCATTCCTTTGTTCCAGCGAGACACTGATGCAGCCTTATTATATTTTAAGGCTCATTTATCATTATGTTATCATTATGTCTTTATCAATTATGTTAATGTGCAATATCACTGATCACACTGCACCTATGCTCCTCAGATGGCATGTATGTGTACGTATATATATATATATATACATATATGTATGTATGTGTGGGTGTATCCGTACGCATGTGCATGTATAACTTGTACATATCTTTCTTGTGTAAATGTAAATATCTGTGTTATTTTGTAGATTTACAGAGAGATGCCAAACTGTATTTCATTGTTCTTCTAACAGTGACGATAAAGAGCTATTCTATTCTATTCTATTCTATTCTATTCTATTCTATTCTATTCTATGTTAGGGTAGCTGAACCTGATGTGCAAGACACAACAATATATGGAAAGTAAAGTGTCTGGCCTTTTGGGGTTTGATTAAAACCTAAAAGTGAACTTTCTTAAATGGTAAGGTTCTTATATAGCGCTTTTTTACTCTTCTGAGCACTCAAAGCGCTTTATACAACTTGTGCATTCACCTATTCACACAAGCACATTTGTCTAAGTGCTTTTTTTAGCTAACATTCACACACATTCATACTCCGATGGATGCATCGGAGAGCAATTTGGGGTTAGTGTCTTGCCCAAGGATATTTGGCATGCAGACTAGAGGAAGCCAGGAATCAAACCACCAACCTTCCGATCAGTAGGTGACCTGCTCTACCACCTGAGCTACCGCCACCCCGAAACTTCCTTAGAGAACCACAGGTTCCGGGTTACACAAGTGCATACTACTCCCTCCACAGAACAGCACAATTTGGCTTACAGGCACATGTAAGTCTGCCATTTGAGTACCTGTGAAGCATCCGATTACTCTAAGTGAACACTCAGATGTACTTGTCATCTTTTCAGAAGTGCACCAGCATCTCACTCTTAACTTTCTCTTCTGGTTTGGTCTATTCTGTGAAGGGAGTAGCACACACCTGTGTGTGAACTGTTGTTTTCTGCATTTAGTCATTGCTTCTTTAACGAGCACGACAGTTTTCTGCTATACTAAAACAGTTAGGTGTTTATAATGATCAAATCACTGATAAATGATGAACACTTCATCATGCCACAGAAACAATGGAGTGTTTGCTACTAAAAATATGCCTCTATATACCTATGTCGATATCTGAGTAAAAGTCATAAATGATTAATGATTCCTTTGATCATCGTCAGTTACAGTCCACATCAGCATTACGTTATATTAGGTGGAAATAGTGTCTTTCTCCTAATGACCCTTAGTTTTTTAATCTAAGAGGAAGTCATTTGTGCCTACGTCAGAGGAAACTGCACTACTACTGTTACTCCAACACAGGTTGTTTTTCCAAGCATTGCAGTCATGATATAGTAATACTGGGATGAAAAATATGGTAGAAATGCAGGATAACTAAAACTTGGCAAACTCGCCAGAGTAAAATTATACTGTTTTACCACCAAACCACCGTCTTCCAGCGTTAATACCGCTATAAAGAATATATTATTAAAGTTATAATTAGTTTATAAAGGCAAACTACTTCTCTAATCGCAATTTTCATTTTATGCTGGTGGCAGTTTGAGTAAGGTACTTCTTCTGAAAGCACACATGACTGAAGGCAAACTGAAACGTCTTTGGCACATATTGTCTGCTTCTGTTGATCCAGACATAGGCAGTGTGCTTTCCAGTAAACATCAAAGGAACCTTCTCCTTGAAAAAAACCATTAAATGTCAAGGAATACTTGAGCTCTCGCTCACAACAAATGATTCAGCAGTGCTGTATAATGACTGCGATCTGACTAAGTGGATTTCTGAGAGAAACACTTGCTGGTGCCTTATAATAAAACCCAAAAAACATAACAAAAACAAAACACATTTGCACTTGCAGCTGAAGGCCACAGGAAAGACGGGTGTCAAATCAAACACGCGCAGGTTAATGCTTGTGTACAGAAACAGGAAATGTGAGTGCTTTGTGGTTCTAATTGCACGCTGTCACACATCAATCACAAGCCTTTCTTATAGCCATTTCAGCTGTCCACATCAAGTAAAAGTATTTCATACTCACAAAGAAATCTGCACATGCTCTCTGCAGTAGTTTAACTTTGTGACTGGGGTTCTTAACCGCAGAGTGCTGCTGCTTAACCTGCTCCTGGAAAGAGCTGAGCTGAAGCGTCCTTTAATTTTTAACATCCTTCTCCACGGTGTCCTGTGCTGAACTGATACTAGGGTAGCTGTGAGCCAACCACTCCGAGCTAGACCTGCGGCTCTGACACCACAGCACCCTCCATGACCCACCCCTGACTCCACCCGAGGGCAACTGCTGTGCCCCACAGAGGGAAGTCCTGCCGCTTAATTTGGCAAATCAGAAGTGTAGTAAAACTGGAGTGGAAGTAGAAAGAGCAGCACTTCCCCCCCTGAAAATAATATGACTAAATGCAGATAAGCTGTTTGCAGATGTGGATTGTTTACTGGACTTGGTGCTGATTTTCTAATCGTCCAAATAGAAGGTCTTTAAAAGGCCATGCCAGGCAGCATAGCTTTAAACAAGGATCAAAAGTAAAACGATTCAGTGGATGAACAGCAACTATTTCATTCTTTGACTCTGGTTCAGCTTTTCCACTCACACGACTCCTGGATGCTATCAGCATCTGAGCTGAGATAAAATCTTTTAATTAACTCTCTCACTAAATGTAATTAAGCTGTCTCGAACTGTGTATAATGCAAACTGTAGCCTCTAGCATTTTGGGCAGTGAGTGGGCATTACCTGGTACACTTTTTTTTTTGGAAATGTGCCTTTTATAAATCTCAACTCTGTGGATGTACCCCAGCAAATTCATCATCAGGCATCAAAAACATTAAGGTAATGTTTGCTATCACAGACGCCACACATACAGCGAGCTTGTAGTGATGGGAGTCAGCTAAAAACACACATGTGCATGCACACAGCAGCTTTCACACAGCAAGCAGGGAAAAGTTGGAAACTCACTTGTAGCTCACTGAGATTGGCCATCATGCCAGCGACAAATGAGATGACTTCTGCTACCGTTTGTCTTACTTTACAGCCCTCGGATCATTGCAGCACCAGTGGATAAATGCAAAGAGTCCAACGTTGGAAGTCCTGTAAAAATAATAATAAGTTTAAAAAAAATAATCCGTGTAAAGGTGCAGTCTGATGTGGGGAAGGTGGGTGAATAAAATGCTAAGATGGTAACGTCTGGAAAAACGATAGAGAAGCAGGTGGACAGTGGAGAGAGGCAGACCATCACCTCCTGGTAGCAGGACGTTAACTCTCGGACTCCGGGCTGCATCACGCAGACAGTGCGGGCTGTCCTGGAGTAGTGTGAGGGAGAGCGCTGCTGCGGGGATCCTTCTCATCGTCAGGGGAGGAAAGCCCTGTGAGGAAACCCAACACCCGCCAGGATTCACTGAAACACCCAGCTCTGCTGCCTGGAGCAAACAGAGGCCATCTTCTCCCCGAAGCGATGCGCTCCGGCTCGGCTCTGCGGGAAGCTGGGAGCCGGTTACTGTTGCTGCTGGGTAGGGAACACAAGCGCTGAAGGAATACAGAGAATATAAAAATGGGACTTCCTGCTCTGACCTTCAAAATAAAATACGCATCGGCGATAACACGCACAGTGCACGGAACGCAAAAGAAATTTGGTTCTTACAAAACTTTAGGTTAAAATAACCGTGTGGAGACTTTCTATAGCTGCCACACTCACGGTGATATTTGTATAGAAACTGGAGCATACGCACAGAATCGTTTTTAAACCATTAAAACAAGCGTTTATTTATTTTTAACCAACTTACCACAGAACAGGAAGTCAGTAGTCTGAGTACACAGGGAGAATGAATAGTACACATAACAGACCAGACAGGACAGACAGTACTGCATTAAACACTAATGCTGTGCTTTACTGCTATTTGTGGTACAGATCTGACACCATGTAAATAAATAGTTAACGCAATAAAATACACTGTTCAGCTTATTGTGTATTTTGAAAACCTGGTATGTTTGTCTCTAAAACACTTAACCTTTCTGCTGCGGGCTATAAATAAAACAGAGGTGACAGTCAACACAAAAAGGCTCAGACATTTTTCACAGTGCGTGTTTAAGTTTTTGTTTTTTTTTTCATTTCCAAAAATAAATGTGTTCAACATAATCCAGTGGGCCACATACCGAAGTTAGAGGATCGAGACAAAGTATCGATCCTACTACGCTAGTATCAATCCGATGCCATTACCAGCGCTGATACCAATACTATCAATATTTGGATCGATTCTCCCACTTCTATTAAACACAGCAGCATAAACACACTAAAGAGGAGATATCACTGTTTGAGCTCTTGTGGGAGCATACGGCATTTATTTCGAATTGAATGTCCCAGCAGTTAATAAATAATCCCCCCATCAAACGCTTTAATTTGGCAGCGAAGTCGTGTGGGATTTTATTTTGAAACCAGCACAGCCTGGATCTGCTGTTATTGCGGACTTCTTTGGTCAGCTTGACGCAGCTGGAAAGAGGCGCAGACCGTTGCGGCAGCCGAGCGCCCTCCTGCTTTCATGTGAGACCTGTTGATCACATTTGAACGCATCACCGTGCTAACCTGGTTGTAGGAACACTAAACTTCATACAGTCAGTGTGTGACTGTATGAAATTTGGATCTGTTGAATTTGTGCACTGCAGCTTACTGTGTAGGTCTGAGTTAAAATAAACTGATGATGTCTCTTCTTCTCATAAAATCAGTGTAATGGCCCTTTAAGCTGCTATAAAGGAACCATCAGTTCATTTATGTTTATTTATGTATTACTAGTGTATTGCATTCCTTCTCTTCTACAGGATCAAACAGCTCCTGGTGCCATTGCCAAATCATACCAGAGTGGAAGACTGGGCTGCTTACCCTGAACACTACAGCTGTAGATGAATGATGAATTGCGAATTTGATGTCCCTGCAGCAACAATATGACCACTGTGCAGCCAAATCTCCTCAGTCAAGACAGAAGGAAGAAAAACTTTGAACCTCTTTCTTATTCATGCATTACATCATTATGAATGAACCACAATGCACACTTTGTGAGTGAACATTTTTAATCAGGTACCCAAAGAGTACAGTTTTGTATATATGCCGCTTTTTATTTAGGACCAAATAACCAGGCCAGCGTGGTTTTTTATTATTTATGCTGTTCTGTGTGTTTTTCTGCCATGTCAAGCTATGCTGTCAGCTCTCAGAGAATAATGTGACCTCTGACCCTGCATGCTAAACGATGTTCAACTAGAAAAATTGTAGAGGGTGAAGGCAACAGTGATCCTTGTGGTAATCGTAACACGTGGATCATAATGTCCATATTGTCCTCTATATCTCACTATATTGTCACATACCTGACACAGACGTTGTTAAGGTTAGTTGATGTGTGAGCCACCACAGCTTATGTTATACACTGTAGCTCATGTTGTGAGGTAGACTTGCTGGATTCAAACCTCGACCTGTTGTTCCAAAGATGCCACTACACCATCCAGCTATGTGTGACATGGTTACTTATTGTGTCATTTCGTGTAATTTCAGAAACCGCTTATGTCATATTAATGGCAGGCATCCTAGAAAAGCGATCACTCCCATCGGGATGCGAAATGGGTCCAAACCAGCAAAACAAAACTCCTATTAAAAAGATAGCAAATATAGTTATTTCTGTTTAGAAGTTAATGAGGTCGTACTGTATGTATTTATTGACATGTTAATCTGCAAACTTACTGAACTTTAGATACAGTGGGGCAAAAAAGTATTTAGTCAGCCACCGATTGTGCAGGTTCCCCCACTTAAAATGATGACAGAGGTCAGTAATTTGCACCAGAGGTACACTTCAACTGTGAGAGACAGAATGTG